CCAACCCAAGTGATTCTGTGATTCCTGAACGGCCCGAGGCTGCCCTAGACCCACAGCAATCCTCCAAACTGACAGAATGAGGGATTATACAGAAGCTTGTCAATGCTGGGTGTAGCAGGGCGGTTCTTTAGCCAGCAGACAGCACGCGGGAGGCCGTTTGGGGGGCATCCCCTGACAGGGCTTTAGCCGCCCGAAGAGCAGGGCAGCTTGGCCCAAACACCTGAAAGCGTGCTACTTTCACCAGGGAACGCGTCTCTCGCACTTGGCAGGAAGGAGAGTTCTGAGAGTCTTTCCCGGGGAGACTCCGCCAAGCGCCAGCACGGCCGCACCGAGGCGCTCCGGCCCGCCCCGCCTGCCCGGCTCCTGCCCACACGCAAGATGGCGGCGCGGGGAGCGGCAGCGCGCAGCCGCCCTGCCTGCCCTGGCGCGCGCGGCCACGTGACGCGTTCAAGCGCGCCGCGCGGACCCCGCGCGGAGGGAGGACGGCGCGGCGGGGGCGCGCGGCGATCAGGTGACCGCTAACCCCCCCCGCCGGCGGCGCGCGCCCGTTACCGCCCCGCCCGCGGGGACACGGGACACGGGACACGGGACACGGGACACGGGACACGGCATCGGGAACCCGGGAGTGGGGCTCTCCTGCGGGGTCCGCAGCGCGGGAGGGGCGGGAGACGGGCCGGGGGGCCGGGCAGGGTAACGCGCAGCGTCTGCGGTGCGGGGATCGACCTGCGGTGTGGGCGGCACGGCGGGGCAGACGCGGCCCGTGCACCGCGGTGTCGCCGTCAAGCCCCGGCGAGGGAATCCCGGCCCGCCGGTGGCGGGCAGCAGCCCCGGCCGGTACTACCGCCCCACCGTGGGACTCCGGCCGTGGCGATCTGCACGGCGGGGACACCCAGCGCTCTCCGATCCGTCTGCCTTAAAGCCTCGAGAAACAACTTGTGCTTGGCCGTGCCGATGAGGCGACCAGTGCTTTTGGAATATGTTGGTGATGTGCAGGGACAGCTGCTGGCCTTGCTGCAGAAACTGTTGATGTTGAAAAACATCACGACATCGCAATGAATTTGAAGGTTAACAGGTACACCGTTCTCACAACCATGTTATCCTTTCACAAAGTACATTTTATTCCACTGAATAAAGCTGTACCAGCTGCACGAAGGAAAATGGTCACAAGTAATACTAAGCRTGAAGACATGGGTATACAGAATGGTTCGGTTGTGCTCCTACTTCAACTAATTCAGCTTTCCTTTCCCATAAAGGGGTTCCCTCATTCATGGCCTGGGCCTGGCAGTCATAGGATGGACTGTCGACTTCTCTGCAGGCACTGAAGTGCTTCATAAGGACTGGCTGTGAGCCGAAGACCTCGCAAAGGYGACACGTCTGCTCTGGTAAGGGCCCCAAGTGCAGCTTTCCAGTGTAGATCTGGAGGGGAGGGAAGAGGCTGGCCACTAGCATTACTGACTTTTATTACTGTAATTTACTGGGACTAAGCTATAAACAAAAGTTTTAGAGCATTAAGCTGTTAATTGTGTTAACACACACAGTGATCTCAGCCTGCATTCCCATAGCAACCACACTGGGAAAGCCCTTTCAGAGACTTCAAGAAAAACAAAAAATAAAAGCACTAAAGTTATGTCCATAAAGTGTCACTTAGCCTGGAAAGTTTTCTTTTAAGCGAGCAAAGTTTGAGGAGTTAAGTAGTTCAGTGGAGTGCAGCCACAGCTCGTTCTCTGTCCTGCACATATATCTTTTGAGAAGTGTCTTCTGAGCCTGTATGTCACAGGCTGCACTGAGGGGCTTGTATCCCAGACAAAGGTACTTCCCCAAGCACAGACATGCTGGGCAGCATAAGACATGCTTGGTGCTTTTCAGAACWAATTTTCAGAGAGAGCTTAGTGAACTATCCCTGTCCCATTACTCACTCACATAAAAATAATCATTGACACTTGAGCTAAATGAACCTTCTCAATGTGTTTTAATCAGTCCTTCAGCTAGATCAGATTTACCTAAACTTTCTCTAACCTGTTCTGAGAAACATCCAAGGATACAACACCCACCTCTTTCCGCTTGCAGAAACCTGTAGTCATTAGCAGGCAAATTCATGATGCCATAAAAGTTGATATACATCCAAGTGGCAGTTCCTTCATTCAGAAACATTTTCCTAAATTGCTCAAGTCATTCTTGTTAATAAAAAGTCCAAGGCTCAATCAGTCATTTCCATTCCATCATATTGACCATTTGAGAATGATTACTGGAGTTGAAAAATCCTTCCAAAATAATCTAGCTGGATGTAAACCACTCAGATTTTCACCCCTTTTTTCTTTTTTTTTTTTGTAGGAAGACACATTCATACCAACTTCTATTGAATATAGTATAAGTAGCTATTTTATACACCACAAGGACATAGTACTTTTAGAGAGATATTATTTCTACATTTGTTTTACAAAAAAAAACCAACAAATCCAACGAATCAAATTTGACATTAACATGTGGGGACGGAGAATACAAGGGGATGGAAATTGGTGAGATTGCTAGGTTCTCAAGACTGGCAATAGGGTGGGCAACTGTTGAGATGCTRGCCCAAGTATCTAATACAGAAAATAAATAATATTCACATTCTGAGAAGTGATACCACTTTTCTCTGCCTGAAGTGAGGAAATACATATGCCATGTAATGTTAGGTGGATCAAGTAAGCACTCCTGGTATTTCAAGCTAAGCCTGTCTTAATGAAATGACATACGGTGCTCCACTGCTCACTTTTTAATAATAAACCCCAKTGTTTAAAGATTGGGGTTTTTCAGAAAAGTGACAGGGATTCCCAAGAGCTGAAGGTCTCTTGTTCTGACAGTGTAGAACTGTGAGGCTGTAGCTGTGAGCGGAGCAATAGTAGTATCATTTCATCATACGCTTTTAGAAATAGATTCTGTGCAACATGTTACACAGAACCCACATTACAACAAGAAATCCAGAAGGACTTTCACAGATCTATTTGAATCAGCTGACAATTAGTAAGTGATCTTAAAATCCACACTGCAATTATGACTGGAAGTTTAGTAGTAACACCTTTTCAGGAAAGTTGAGCTCTAAGGAGAGTGATTTCTCCTGCATTTAGGTTGTAGATCATTTTGTGTATCACTCCCACACAAAACCGAATACATAGGATAAGCTCTTCTAGTGAATCTCCCCCTTAACTATTGCAGGTCATCACTAGAAAAAGTGTAGCATTTGACAGTATAATGCATAAGGTGTTCTGGTGTCCCAAGTTATGGAATTCTAAACTTGGTTGAGTATTGGGTGGTTAAAGACTCATCTAGGGAAATGCCAAACCTTTCTAAATCCCATGGGAAATCAGAATTGTCTGTCAGCAACCAATGTGACTGTGCCATGAGTTCTGCATCAAAYAGATCTGGTCAGGTCCTAGTGTGGTTAAAATGAGAGAGCTGTGTTGATGGGAACATGACAACCCTTGGAACCTCTCTGGCCAATGACCATACCAATTCTCTGAATGCAAGGCTCRTTTTCCTTCCTGTGAAGAACTCGGTGCTTAGACCAGGCATTTGTCCATCCCAGGAGCTCTGCAGACACCAGGGGGACGAAATGGTTAAGGAACAGCTTTTTTTCTACCTAATTCAGTCCAGGCTCAGCACTGATAGCCAAAGCAGGGCTGTGGGCAGYCCCCTTCTGCCACTGCTTCTGTAGGAGCTCTGTGGTTCTTAGAACTCCCCTGAATTTTGGGTTTTCAAATGCCCCTTGTTGCAGCTCCATCAACTGTAGAATGGCTTATTTACTGAGCACAACAACAGGCTGCTGTTTGGGCAGGATTCCACTGGCAGTCCATGCCTGACCTGGAGACCTTTGATATTTTGGCCGGCAGACAAGTTGTCTGTGCCCTGCTTGGTATTTCCCTGTAAAGTATGCTCTAGGATGTCCTTTCTTTAGGAGACATTACCCTTCCCTCCCACTCATTCCTSAGTTGAGTCCAAGCATCACTGCATATGTTCTTAGCTGGAAGGTCCGCCCCTTTCTGCACTGAGTGTACAAGCCCACTGCCCATTTCTTCCTCACTGAACAGCACAGTCTTCCAGCTCAGACGGTGTCCCTGAGGTCCTGCAGCTGGACACATCTGCATTTCCAACTTTGCTTCCCAGAGGAGATACTTTAAATGTATGGTACAGTAGTTGCATGCTGACAGCATCAACACAGTCAAGAGGGGCCCAAGATATTGGGTTGCTTTTTCCAGTGGATCCTCATRCTGCAGCTTTTTATGGATTTTTTTGCCTGCTGTTATCTGGAGATGACAAGACATTGGAGGAGTTTGGGAATTGTTCTCATGGGAAGAGCACACTTACCTGTACCATACTAATTTTGATTTTGTTACTTTGATTTTATTAAAATTACAACTAGTTTTCTTTTTCCTCCTTTTTTAAAGAAAAAGGTTTAGAGAGACATGGAGCTTGAAAGAATCATTCAAGATACATTGACATGCTTCATTCAGTCCCACATCCCTGCAGCAGATCTCAGGTATGTTGAGATAGGCAGATCCAATATCATTGTTCCAGTGTGAATTCTGCATTGTCACTCTGTGCATTATACTGAATTATGTGGTTTTCCTGTACTTTGTGTTCCTCTCTTTAAGTCAGATCCAGGATRCAGGTAATTTGCACAGGCTCTGATGGGAATGTCTGAACAACTATAGTTTAGCATTGCAATCTAGCGATGTCATTTCTTTGATGACAAAGATGATTAATTTCCTGTCCAGTAATACCCATTAGAATATGGGATTTCCTTCATTCCACAGTGCTCCCAAACTGCTTTCGGAGCAAAATAATCTACGTCAGGCCTCTCCCTATTTTGAACTCTGTCTGCATGCAGAGATACAGCCACCTTGAGGCTGGAACACAGCAACYGGTTTTGCAGCTGGTGGCAGCAGTGACACAAGTGTGGAGAGCAGCAAGCAAGCAGAGAACACTGCATCCCACAGAAAGTGTAACTTAACAGAAATTATGACCTCACCTGAAACACCAGTTAATATAGCAAAGTCAAAGTCTTGAGCACTTGGAATATTTTGGATAGCTCAGCTGAAGCACCCACAGGAGCACAGCCTCTGGAATACACGCTGGGGCTTTCATTCAGTGCTGCCCAGGAAGCAGGATCACATGCAGTATTTATCTGTTAATGCTTCCCTCTCAGCCACTGACCACCTGCTACCTGGCCTTACTGGTGGCATCTCCTCATAACATACAGTCTACATAGGTCCTTCTTCTGCTGTATCAGAAAGACACAAGGTTGGGGGGAATGGGGATGGAGAGAAAGGAAAAAATGGGCCTGCTCACCTTGCTGCCTGTGTTCTCTTTGTCTCCAGTGGGATGGATGATGTTTTCTTCTCTTATATTACGGGTGTCCTGGAAGAGCTGGGCTCACCAGAGTCCTCTGAAGAGACTTTTGACATGGACAGCTTTGTGGAAATGATGGAGGCATATATCCCTGGTTTTGCAGAAATCCACAGGTATGTGCTTGTTACTGGTTTGTGTGTGCATGCCATTCATGCACATGGCCTGGCCCCAAGCCCCTCAGTACTACAAATTGTTTTGTTATACCCGGTTGAAGATGTATTAGTAACAAACCTGAGCCATTATGATAAGTCACTCTTTGCCTGAATACACAAATGCTAATCCTTGTACAGTTTGCAAGTAAGTCCTTGGCAATATGAAATACCAGTTGATTTTATTTGGCTTCCCATCAAGCCTTGTCTTTCTATAAAATGGCAGCCAAGTAGGATAGGCTAGTACTTCTGTTCCTCACACTAATTATACAGCTTCTGTCTCTTGCAGTGGGGATGTTTGTGAAATGATGTTTTCCCTCTCAGAAAGGCTTGGTGAAGCTCGCAACAAAGGTGAGTTACACAAACAATTTCAGCACAAGATCTGTACATATTTTTAGTCTAATATTTCAAGTTGAAAAACGTCACAGAATAAAATACGAACTTGTTTGCCACAGCTAAGAACTCATAAGGTAGCCTCAATTGATTGACAGGTTTGGGGKTTTTTTTCAGTTAGGTTTTTCATGTCAACAGATGGGAGGTTGGAGTCACATGGAATGCTGTCCAAKATGTACTGGAGTGAAAATCACTTGATCAATTCTCCAAATATCTCTGTTGACATCAAATCCAGAGTAATAAGAACGAAATAGCCAATTCAAGGCTGCTTGTTGAAATTCTGCTGTAGGTTAATTCTGAAACCAAGGATTTCTGCCTGCCTCTAATAGCCATCTGCCTAAGGGGCACTACCACTGGGCAGCCTTTATCAGGTGCATCATCAAACAGAATATCCAGCTGAATACATTTATCACATCTAGACTTTGAGCATCCTCAAAGCTCACCACTGTTCATCCATGAACCCTGGCACAGATGCAAAATGAGCGATGTGCTCTGATCTGCACTATGCAGGACTGCAGAAGACTACACTGTGCCAAAGGCCCTTTCTAACCTCAGCATTCACAGACCAGCTGGATTGCTGTATCAATCAACCCCATGGGTACTTTCCACTAAAGAAGAGACAGGTTGAAGTGCCTGGATATTAAACCTTCCAGGACATAACCAGTCTGGATTTTGCTGGTCTGGTAAGATCACCRCTGTTTTGCCAGAAGGTTACACAGTGTAGAATAGACAGGCCTGCCTTTAATCTTACTTGCTGCTTTCCTGAACTTGACAAAATCTACTGCTCTGCACTGCTCTCCTGCATCCTACCCTTTGAAGATCCTGATATAGCCAGAGTGTGGAAGGAAAGCACCATCCCGGTCTTAAGACAGAATAAAAGTAAAATGGCTCTTCTTACAGTGACMAAAGGAGCCTGTAAAAAAAGATGCCTCAGAGTAACCTGATCACAGGATGTGCTGGCTTGCATGCAGCTTGGGGACAGGACTACACCTTAGTTCAAAGATGCAAATACCAAGGAATTCTTAGAAATGGAAGTGTCCACAACCCAAGCACTAGTAGACCAAGAATTGAAAAGCAGAATTGAATTTGCAAACAGCCTGTACAGCCTGGAAATGCAAAACTCAGGTATTCCAGCATGTGCTAGCACTGGCTTCTGGCAGGTCAGTGGGAGCAGAGCTGCAGCTGTCCCACTGAGGGCTGGAAAAACAGTAGTGCTTCCAAGTCTTGTCACTTAAGAAGAGATTTGTTTTGGCACACAATGCACAGCAATCTAATGCCAACTGAAAGCACAGAGCTCTAGCCTTAGTGGGACTGTTCCTCAGGAGATATCACTGTGTCTTTTAAGAAAAACTTGGCCAAAAGGCTGTGGAAAGCGGGAGTGAATTGCCCTCTGAAGACCTCACCAAGGGCCAGGAGCCTGGAGCTGGAGCCTGCAACGGGGAAAGACTGTGCACTCTAACAGACGGAGCCGGGGCCCAGGTATGAGTATCCCACAGAGGAGCAGGAACACTGGGGATAGTCACACAGCACTAGGCTACCTGCACTACCTGAGGGCATTTTCCACCTCTGGAAGGAACCACAGCGTAGGCTGTGACACGGCATCACTGGTCTCCATGATCTTCTCCACTATGGCTTGTGCAAGACTGTCAGAAAAATGTGCTGACAGACTGTGAGCCAATGCTCTGGCTCATCCTTTCCAGTGGCTGGAAAGGGTGAGCCAGAGCAATGGCTGAGAGAGCCTGTCCCAGTGCCTTCAGAGATCCCACAGCAGCTACAGGTACTGCACCACCTTCCACATCAATCCCACCTTCCTCTCCCCCCACCTTGCTTGCTGTTTCTCCAGTACTGATCTATTCCTGCTCTGCAGTACAATCATTCTGTAKCCACAGCCTTCTAGCAAATGCTGCTATGGTGATTCTTTCTGATGTAGCCTCAGGTCAGTCTTTAGCAGGCCCTTTCCTTTCTGATCAAAGTACGTATAACTTCACAAGGTGGGCAGAAGTCAGGCATTTGCACCACAGGGTCCAGAAATTCACGCCTGAGCATGGCCACACAGATGAGTCAGTTCACAGTAGCCCTATAAAGCAAGTTGAAATACTGAGGGAGGTGATTAAAGCAGAATGAGAGCGTTAGTTTATTTTCAAATATACAGTTYCCTGTTAGCTTCAGGAATCAGATTTAGTAACCCTGGTAAGGAGAGCTTTCAGCGAAGGGCAAGCTGAATTTCCTGACCAGGAAAAACCAGAGGCCCTTTTCAATAGCCCTCTCCTCACTGCATCCCCAACTTACCTCTGTCTCTTGCTCCAACTAGGAAAGCACTGACTTGAAGGATGGGGTGGAACTGCTACTGGAGATGTTCCCAGCCTGTACAGTGAGCCAGGCAGAGAAGGCTCTCGCCATGGCTTTGGGGAACTTGGAAGAGGCAGTGCAGTTAATTGTGGAGGAGAAGGTGGAAACTGGCTCAGCAGGTGCGAGTGTGAAGGTACTGTACTCTAACCTGGGTGGCAGTGAGCCAGGGAGCAGGGCAGGGCTCAGGGACATACAGGTACCACAGCTGTCTGCTACATGCAGAAACTTCGACTGCAGAAACTCTGCACAATAAGCTGGGAGGGTCACACAGAGCAACAGACAGCCCTTTTCCCTGGCTCTTTTAGTATAGTCTGCTCACAGCCAAGCCAGATCCAGTGGAGCTGTGGCTGGGCACTCCTTTCCCACAGGGGCTGGAGTGCTCCGCCAGCAGCTGCACTCGCTGAGCTAGCRGGGAAGCTGTACATCCCTGTGTTGTGCTATTCACACACCAACTTGTCTCCTCCCAGGAACTGGCACGGCCCCGCAGAGCACCCAACCACGAGGAACTAAAACAGGTCATCCTACAGAAGTAAGTACCCAACAGCCAAGAACCCCTTATTTTGCTCCAAATAAATGAAGAGGTGGCAGTTTGGGGAACAGTGTGGTCTATAAAGAAGTAGAGRTGGGTATAGCTGAATACATCTAAGCACAAATACCATCATTAGCTGGGGCAAAAAACCAAAAAAATCCACACACACTCAAAAACTCCAACAAACAAAGAAAAAACCCACAGAACCTGGCAGGTYTGGTTTTCTCTTAGAGCTCTGGCATAGAAATACATTACCTGTACCAGCTGGGTCACAACATTGGCTTCCTTCAAGGTTTCAGCCTCCAACAGATACAGTGTTAGTCACAGTGTTGTTAGCAGAGGTCCTGGTTAAAGGTTCAAGGCAAAACGTCATGCTGCAGCTCAGATAACAAACATGGTGACTTGTAGAACTACAGTAACTCATTCATACCTTCATTCTTGGAGACAGTCCAAGCAAGGTTAAAGATACCTTCAAGAGACTGCCTGTACAACAGCACTGGAAAGATTAAATCTCAGTTTCTGAAGGCGTGAATTCAACGCATTTAAAGAAACCTCTCTGAAATYCTCATGGATTTCTTGGGCATGCAAGTAGCTTTAGATTAGTTCACTTATATTCATTTCTAAAAGCATTTCATTCTCAATGGAAGAAACCACACTGTGGTTTCATCGATCTGCTTTAAGATCTCAGCTTTCATGACTATCCTCATGCAGGCATGGCAGCTTCCACACATTTATTCAGCCACATCTTTTCCACTTTACATTCTCCCCAGGGACAGGATAAACGGTCGATGGGATAGGGAAGATAAAGCAAGACAAAACAGCATCCAGGCAGAAGTAGTAATCCCAGTCCTTGTCATCTCCTGTGCAAGCTCATTTTAGAGTGACAGGCAAGGGAACAAAAAAAGCACCAGCTGCTTGTTATGTTTCTGAGAACTTCACTTTAATGACATTTTGGCAACATCCTGTACTTTAAACATCACTCAAGCACAGGTACAGAAAGCAGATCGCCATAGCTGAAGATATACAAGAGCAACTATACTAACTACTGAGGGAGAAGTCATAGTCAGCTGTGCTAAACCAGCACCAAAATCTCAGAGTAGCAACTCAGCAGTACAGCAGGCAAATGCTTGGACCCTGATGTTTCAGTTACAGAGGAAATGAGGTGATGCTTTTATCAAGTTGCTTCCAGCACAGACCTGTTTCACAGTCAAGTAGGAGGAGTGTGAAAGGAACACCATCATTCAGGGCAAAAGCAGACAGATTGGTCCTGTAATCTCACGTCTCATTTGGCTGCCATCAGCTGGACTGAGAAGGAGCAAAGCTGCCCCAATGGCAGGGCACACCAGACCTCAGTACCTCTCTCAGTTCTGCAGTGGCTATCAGCATTTTCAACCACCTGAGTTTTCAATACCCTTCACAYAGAGCCAAGGATGCTACTCCAGGAGAATCATGCTAGATTCTCACCAGACGGATGACCTACTTCTTGCCCATTTCATCCAGAGGGGAACATCCAAGTTCTSCTAGCTGCAGTCTAGGCACATAGGACACATTGCACAGCCACAAACCAGACAGGGGAGAAGGGACATAGGCTGTGAGTAGCTTCAGACAATGTGTATGTTTGCTAAATGCTTCTCTTGTTTCAGATACATGATGGTGGATAGTGCAGATGACCAGAAGACGCATCGGCCAGCTCCACCCAAAGAGGTAAGCAGAGCAGTCCCAGCTCACCAGCAGTTTGAATGTCCTTACAAGGTTTAAAAAACACAGGCTGCAAATCCAAAAAAGCAACAGGGCAGGCCAAAGGCAAGTCTATTCATAGAACCTGTGAGGCAAAGAGGGAAGAGTAGCTCAGCTGAGGTGCTGCAGGGACTATCAGTTCTTACTTTTCCTGACTACCATGGCATTTGCCCCCTCCCATCGGACAGGATCCTTCCCAGTTTTGGGCAAGATTCCCAACACAGACAGTGGTAAAGCAGCCCCCCACCCACCCACCTCCCATAGCGCAGCTCTGCTTTTGATTGCCCCCTCCCTTTCTCTAGGAGTGTGGCTGTCCATCCACTTGGTGTTAATATCTTCCCTCTCCAGGCTCCCAAGAAGTTGATCCGCTATATTGATAACCAGGTGGTGAGTACAAAAGGAGAGAGGTACAAAGATATCAAGAAGCCTGAGAGTGAGGAGATGAAAAGAACCTACATCAGCCTAAAACCAGCCAGGAAGTACAAGTTCCACTGACAGCCAGGTCTTCCTGCTCTTCAGCCTTCCACCTCACTGCCAAACGCSGCAGATGGATGTGTGGTGCTGGGAATGAGGCAACTCCACCTGCCACTAACTTGAACTAACCTGGAAGCCAGGACACTGCTTTCAGCTTCCTCAACTAACCTGGCTGAGGAGACTTCTCTCCTTGTATAGCTATCCCTCTGCCCCCAGGGGCACACTGCATTGGCTCTCCAGGGCCTGGGCATTCTCTGCTACTCCTTGCATGGGACATTTTTAGATCTGAGACGTGGCATGTGCTTTTSCAGCAACCTTTTTAACAAGTCTTTGTGCACTGTTGCTTTGAGTGCCAGTATTAATAAAGATGATGTGAGTTGGTGTATAGTTCAGCCAGAGCATGCACATGCTTTACAGACATTTCCTCCAGTCCCTCCTGGATGGCCAAAGAGAGGAGCAGGGTCATCCTTTCTTCCTCTAATTACGCTCGTCATCACATTCTCAAGATGCAGCTATTTGATTAACTGCCTATCGGATAAAAGGGCTTAGGCTGAACTCCAGAGCTATGCTTTCCCCGCCAACACAATCTATAGCTCTCTCCATAAACTCCTGCTGACAGCAGAGTCAATGCTCCTGCCATTTCTCACCACTGTTGAGAGCCAAAGCTCCAGCCACACAACAGGGAGCAAAATACAGGAGTAGGCCTGGGCACTACAACAGTGTTCAGTCAGATGGTGGAAGAAACAAATGACAATGACCAACTGCTTTCAGTGACAGCACAGCTAGGCATTTTTCTGTCAGTCAGACTGCCATTAGGGGCATGTTCCCCCTGAAAACAACTCCCACGTTGCCCCAGCCTAAACTAGCACCCTAGGTCTGGGCAGGCACACTACCTGCACCAAGGCCATGCTAGTCCTTCAGTGCCAGGCTGGCCAGTGGCTGTGGGCTGGAGCTAGGCTCACTGCCCTCCTCTCAGAGCCCAGAGGGGCCTGCCCTCTCCCAAGAGGAGGGCTGATAGCTATTCTTTGTGCTCCAGCTGATCTGGTTTGTTCCACAGCTCTGCTGGCATGCCTTGCRCATCCACCCCAGGGAACAGTCCCTGTCAAACACTCCCATGTTCTCTGGACAGCTGCTGCTTAAAGATTTAAAATACAACAAATAATAATTCCTACCTATTAGCTGGCCTGACCAAGGCCTGTTCAGCACCATGGTGTTCCTGCAAATCACTCGCTCTTTCCATGCCACTGCAGAGGGAGTTACTTTCCCCAGAGGCACCAACGAATGAAGTCCACTTATTAACACTCAGTGGCTGCTAAACAGCCCCGGAGGAAAGAGTGAGCCTCACTCAGGCCAGCCTCACCAATGGGACCAACCTCTCCCTCTGCACGTCCCCACAGCAGCCAGTTCCGGCATCCTTCTGTGATCCCAGAATTGTGTCAGTCCCCCCCTCCCCAGCAGCAGCAGTTCTAGATCTGAAGGTTGATGAAAGGGGCAAAGCCAACCACATCCTGCAGCAGAACAAGAGCCCTCTGCAGCGGAGGCTCCACATCCAGCTCCACCCCACGGCTTCGGAGGATGCTCAAGCTGGACTCGGCCACGTTGTGGCAATGCTTGACCTTCAGCGAGCGCAGCTTGGGACAGTACTCAGCCAGGACCCTGCCAAGAAAGAGAGCACATCCAAGTTGCAAGTAAGGTCTCCTAAGTGCACCACTCACGCTCTTCTCCCAGCAGCCCAGTGCTCGTGACCGTGCCACACACACATCATCCTTTAGAGCAGCACTGTGSTGGTACGAGATCAAGTCAAGGGACATGGCTGGATCCCAGACCTACCCTCCATAATAGGCTGGGAAATTTGCTGTCAGTAGCATTCAGTGCCTCTTCTGAAGGGCTAGTGGTTTCTCTCCCATACTAAGCTCTCACTGCTTTCAGCAGTGAAGAAATCTGATTTTCCTCTCTGGTTCTCTTCCTCTCCCAATTCCAGATACCTGCCATCCCCACCCTGGCTCCCCATATTGCTCAGTACCTGATGGAGTCATTCTTGACTCGCAGACATCCTGTGAGGTCCAAGTGCTCCAGCTCGGGGCAGCACTTGGCAGTCTCCTCGACTGCCAGGTCGCCCACATTGGCATTGACAGCCAGTGACAGAGACTTAAGCCTGCTGCATTTCTGCACCAGGTAGCAGATAGCCTCGTCCTTCAGCTGGCGACAGGCCGTCAGGTCCACAGCCTCCAGCATCTTGCAGTGGTCAGCCAGGCTGCGCAGGGACAGGCTGTCCACCCACTCACAGTGAGCCAGGGAGAGCTGGCGCAGGTGGGGGCAGCTCAGCGAGATGGCCACCAGCGCGTGGCGGCTGAGCTGGGCACAGCCCTTCAGCTGGATCTGGTGCAGGTGGTGGTTCTGCCCGATGACTGGGAGCAATTCCCGGTCCGTCAGCCAGTCACAGCAGTTCTGGAGTGCCAGCTGCTGCAGTACTTCGTTGTCCTTCAACATGTTAACAAAAGCGGCTCGAGGGATGGCAGGTCCAATCTGTGTGGGGAACCCAAGRAGAATGAGGCATCCCCCAGCAATTCAGATAAGCCTGATTCTCACCAAATACTCTCTCCCCTTCTCTCTTCTGCTGTGACACTGGTGACCAAAGCTATCCCCTGCCCTGATCCCAGGGCAAACCCTACCATCAGATGCTGCTCACCTCATGCCAAGGCTATTGCCACAAGCTAGATCATGCTCCTGTTTCTCCATCCCAATCATCACTTCTGCATTTATATACTCATGAGGAGTTCCACACCTCTGGTCTCCAAAAACCTCTTTGCTAGACCACTCTGTGTCCTCACAGAACAGCAACTACTCATCTTTTCCAGTCCCAGGCAATGTCTCCCAGGAATAGGACAAACTTTCCCTGGAGACCAAGCACAATTATCTCCCATTAAACCCACCCTACTGCACAACCTTCATGAGGACATGCCACTCCAGAGCTTGTGTGTCTGCCAGCCAGTGCCCCATAATGGCCTGGGCGGAGTTTCCAGTCTTACTCCTCCCAGAACCTCTTACTCAAGACACTGGCATTGCTGGGCCYTGAATCACTGCCTCTCCTCCCTGAGCCCATCTGTCCAGTTTGACACCAGAGTCATTAACCCAAGCTCCTGAGCAGAAACCACCCTCTTTGTCAAGGGTTTTTTCTCCCCACATAGATGCTGCCCTGTTAGTTCCAGAGCAGTAGGACATCTGGGTCCTCCCCCAACCTCAAAGCCTTCCAATACCTGGCTTGAGTCAAAGCAGCGCATGTTGGCCAGGTACAGCTGGATGAGAGACTGGAATGACTTGCTGACCCTCTGCAGGCTCAGGAGCTGCTGCAGTGGCAGATGACAGAGGATATGTGGAACCAGGATGTCTTCCCAGGGCAGGTCCAGGAGGCACCCCCTGGTCGGGTTCACACTCATGATCACACACCAGAGAGCCAGGCTACTGCAAGAGGCAGGCTAGATCAGCTCACACCTACTGCCAGGTGCCTCTAGGTGGAAAAGCCAGAAAGAAACACTCAGACTCAGCGACGTTTCCTACAATCAGCCCACATGGAACAGCCCCTTGGCTAGCTATCATCAGGGCACGTGCCTGCCGCCTGCATCACCACCTCCCCWCAGGACGTTCACTGCTCAGGCATCCGAGTCTACCTGCCTGCACTGCCCTCCAAGGAAAGCTTGGGTGGGGCTTTCCATCAGCTGCTGAAGGAGCCCTGTCCCTCAGCGAAGCAGCAAGAAGCTGCTCTAGCGTTACCGCACGAGTCGCACAGGGGCTGTGCCCAGCTTTCATGTCTGAGCATCACTCTACCTGTCAGCCAGTCCCCGCATCCAGGCCGGGCCATTCGGGTACTCTGCAAGGGGAAGAGACCAGGCCCTTTCTCCTTCCCGCGGGGAGAAACAAGGTTCCGAGCTGCCCCCAGAGAGTCTCCCTCCGAGGAGCAGACGCCCAGCATCTCTGCGGAGATGAGGCCTCGGGCCGCGAAGGGAAGGAGCAGAGGGGTCCCGGCAGCCCAGAGCCCCCCGAGCTGCGGCTGGAGGACCGAGTTAGACTCGGCCCCAGCAGAGCCCGCAGTCGGGGGCCYTCACCCGAGGCCATTCCTGCCCCGCCGCCCCAAGTGGTCCCGCTCAGCCCCAGAGCTGCCCCGGGCTGCCTCGCCGCCGCATGGGCCGGCCGCGAGAGCACCGCCGGGACCAGGACACCGCCCCGCTGCCCGCCGCAGGGCCCCGTGGCGAGGCGGTAGCCCTGTCCTGCCGTGCCCCGGTACCTGCGGTCCCGCCGGAGAGCCCCCGGCCGCTCCATCCCGCGCCGCACCCGCCCTGGGCACCGGCGGCCGCCCATGACGTCACAGCGGCGAGCGGAAGTGCGCGCTCCTCACTGCCCCGCCCCTGCCCCGCCCCTGCCGCGCCCCGGCGGCGACGCGCGCTACCGGGACCGGCCCACAGGCACCGGGAGGCACCGGACCGCGGGGAGTGCTGGGCGGGACAGCGGGCCACGGTGGTCACAGGTCCCACTGGTGTCGCGGCGACTCCCGCAGGTTGCTCCCAGCGGCACAGCGGSCTCACCCGCTCCCCCCTGCACAGCGCCTGTCCCAGTTCCTCAGTTATCCCAGATCCCCAGTGCACACCAGATCCCCATGGTCCCAGTTCCCCGACGCACACCGGTGGCTCCAGCCCTGCAGCCACCCCAGTTCCCCAGTGCACACCGCCTGTCCCAGTTCCTCAGTTATCCCGTTTCCCCAGCGCACACGAGATCCCCAGCGCACACCACTGTTCCAGTTCCCCACGGCCCCAGTTCCCCGGTGCACACCGGTTGCTCAGCCCTGCAGCTACCTAGATTCCTCGGCGCACACCGGCTCCCCCCGTTCCCCACGGCCCCTGTTCCCGGCGCACACCGGCTACCCCCATTCCATGTTCCCAGCTCACACCGGCTCCCCCTGTTCCCCACGGCCCCTGTTCCCGGCGCACACCGTTCCCTGTTCCCGGCGCACACCGGCTGCCCCCGTTCCCTGTTCCCGGCGCACACCGGCTCCCGCCGTTCCCCCCGTTCCCCCCGTTCCCTGTTCCCGGCGCACACCGTTCCCTGTTCCCGGCGCACACCGGCTTTCCCCATTGCCCGGTCCCCGCGCACGCCCCTGCCCTGGCGGACGGTCGCGCATGCGCAGCGCGGCGCCGCTGTCCGTTCAGCACCACGCGGAGCCGGGACCCGCTGCTGCCGGTGAGCGACGGCCCCGCCAGACTCCCCCGGCCACCTGCCCGGCTCCGGGCTGTGCCGCCCTTGCTCGCCCGCAGGAGCGAACGGATCCCCGGGAAAGATCAGTCCCTGGGGCTCRCAGTTCTCACAGCACCCCCGACCGGCAGCCATTGGGCCCCGTTCCTCCGGCGATACCGGGCTGTCTCCACCCCCCACCCCGGGGCTGCCCGCGGCCCTCCGCTCCCAGCCCGCGTCCTCCTACGCTGCCAACCGGCTCCCCGCGCTCCGCTTCCCCGCCGGTGCCCCACCTGCCTCCGCAGTCCCGGGGACAGGGCGGGGTCCTTCCCTTTGCCCGCAGCCCCCGCGGAGAAGCAGCCCGGGCTCCCGCCCGCGCAGTTGCCATAACGACCCCGTAAAAACGGACGCTGCTCCTTCCTCCCCGCTGTCGGTTTGCGGGGCGGGCACGGGCGGGCATCCCCGCCTTGGTGCGGCAGTCGTACAACACACACTGGGCGTGTGATCCCATCTCTGTCTCGGGTCTGAGACCTGCTGTCTTGTGCAGCATCGAGCTGCTGATTAGTGCGGGCATAGGAATTTTTTWAAAATCCACATGGCAAAAAAGCAGGGTCCATAGACAATAAATGAATCCCAAATCCGTGGACCCATGTTTCTTGAAAAGCAATGATCCATCTGTGCACCCTGCTCTGCTCATTTCCTCAAAAGGTGGAAGCTGGTTTGTGGAAAGGTCTTCTTTACCCGGTACCTGTCCTCTGGGGGAAGCTACCCACCCTGTCTGTCCCTGGACATGTAGCAACTGTCCCTCGAGGGTCCCAGTGGTTCCCTGAATTAGCACAGTGCATTTCTCATTTAGAGAAGGACAAGTGATGCAGGTTTTTCTATTAGAGTTATGAATGCCCCCAGCCATGTCCTGGAACAGCCCTTTCTTTCCTGCGGTGGGCGTACTCTTGACTCTTCTTGACTTCCTGCTGTGAAATAGAAATGTGCCACCTGGCAGAGTCCCTTAATATATAGAATCACTGTGACTACGGGCATGAGTGGTGGAAGCTGAACGTGAGTCTGGTTAGGGCCACAAAGGTTTGTAAGTGCCCCGAGGGCCTGATAGCTGTTGGCCTGTGAGGGGCTTGGCAAGTTGGCTGGCTACAGCTATTGAGATGGATGTGCTAGGAATTATGGATACTTTTCAGCTGTGAAATGTTCATATTGTTCTATTTTTTTATCCACAGGTTGTTTGCAGATGCAGAAAGAGCATCAGAGACTGTTACTGTATTGTAGAGGTGTRTGCTGAGACACAGCTTTACACAATCATTTACACAATCAGGATGTTCAGTGAACCCAGCAACCTACATCTACAGCAATGGTAAGGATCCCAAATCCGTACTGATTTTGTGCTCATGCCTAGCAAGTTTTCCTGTATGCAGAGCAGCTGTGATACGGCTGTACAGCATTGCAGTACAGAGCTTGGGGGGTGTTATACACTGGAACTTGGCAGTGAACCGACAGCTCAAAGCAGACAAGCTTGAAGAACCACAGCTTTGTTCTGCTCTGCTCAGTCAAGATTTGCAGCAAGCTTCTGTCTTTCTGGTATGTGTTCTGCCAAAGGCAGGTCTGCATTTTTCTTGAAAGGTGTTTGTAAGTTTCCATTTTAAGCTTTAGTTGGATGTGTGTTTTTAGTCGACCCATAATACTTCAAACTGGTCTGCCAAAACAGCTTTCTGAGTTGGACCTGAGGCTGTGRCACCTGCAGTTCTTGTAGGACACCTGGGGAAGTGTATTGTACCTTCAACATTCAGGGGACACTGTTCAGTTTTCTGGCACTCCTGTTATCCCAGTGGCCACTGATGTCCTATGGGGRAAGCAGGGCTCCTGCGTCAGGCTTTGAGCTGATCCATAGTAATGACAGACYGAGCTGAGCCCTGGGGGGAGGAAGCAGATTAGCTCCCAACAACTGTTGCTGCTGCAGCTTTCTTGTATATTCCTTCGAAACATACCGTGCTGGCAGCTAGCAGAACCAGGGCATGGCATCTGCACCCTCATGAACATCCCCTGAAGTGAACAGAGACTTCAGCCAGCTCCACTGCTGTGAGGTGGTGGTGATAAACAGCGATACTTTGGAAGAGTCTAGAGAAGCAGTTTGGTCTTCACCTCATTATTTAGGAAGTGGAGATGAAATTTAGGAAACTGGGGCCTGAGGGAGRGGGAGTCTTGAGGTTAGAAGAGCTGACCTCAAGTCAGGAACCCAAGCTCTTTGGTTCCCAGAGATGCTCCTGATTTCCCAGCTAGAATGGGCAAGTCTTCCCCACTTACACCTTTTGACTTTTCCCCTGCATTTAAAATGCAGTTTTTTTMCATGTCAGAGGTGTATTCAGAGGTTGGCTGGGTTTCCTCGAGCTTGTTGGAGTTTCCGGAAGCTGCTGCTGTCCAAGGAAACATCTTATTTTTAGAGATCAGTATGATGCCAAGCCAACATTATCCTGATGTTCAATCATCTCATATGATGGCTTGGCACCTTGCTGACTAAACACCTTTAGCCTTACAAAGATGTTGGGGCCATTTTCTTTGCAGTTTTCTACTATTCTTTGGTGGAACAAGAAACAAGATCTTGTCAAGGACACTAGTAGCTCTGCAGTATTCACTTCTCTGAGATGTGAGAGCTAGGTGAATGCAGCACCACAAAGATTCAAAAAGGCCTCTCAACACTGTTTTTTCTTGGACTCTCACCAGTTTCTTTCAAAGGATCTGGCTCCATCTTTTCTCTGGCTTCAGGATAAATCTGGCAGCCTCTCACACTCAGGGTTAGAGAGGGCCACATCTGGACTTCTTGGTGGCATGGGAGAAGGTATTGGGCTCATAGGGTAAGCTCTGGTGTCAGTGCTGAAATTGCACTGTGTCACCAGAAACCATTTTTAAGCTGGTGAAATAAGAACACATGGTGAAATCTGTTCAACTCCTCCCTGTATATGCCACCTTCCTACTTCTTATTGAGAAAAGAATCTGCCTATACAGTCAGGGCTAAAAAGAAAATAAATAGAAGTAAAGCAAGATCAAGTTCTGCAAATCAAGGCTGAAAGAGGATTATGCATGAGAAACTCCCAGCTAAACGGAAACACAGGGCTGTTCTGCAGCATCCCACTCATGAATTCCCCTGCATTCAAGCTTTCAGTATGTCTTTTGCATTTGTCTCCAAACATCTCCACGACAGCCATTTTGCTCAGTTTTCTGCATATACTTGTAATTACTCCTCTATAACTGACCCTCAAGGCCTTTTACACAATCCTGTATGTGGCTGTGTTCTTCCTGTGCTGGGTCAGACTGTGTGCCTTGGGCTTACTGACTCTTTTCTGCATAAAATATTGTGTATTCATTGCTATYGCTTTCCTTTACACCTTTTTCACTTTTCCCCATGTGAATCTTGAAGGTACAGGGAGGGGATCATATCTTATTGCTGCACAGATTAGCTGGAGAGCAGTCCAAAGATTTGTGCTGCAGCACAAGCATGTCTTGGGAGGCTACATCAGAGAATGGGTGATTTGGGTTGTTTCARACTAAATTTGTCTCTTTGGTGCAGTGACTTTTCATGGTGAGCTAGGTCTGGTGAATGACCTGCTGGCACCCAGGAAGCTCTGTCTTCACTGGAGAGCCTGCCCCACCCCTCAGAAATCCCTTGCTTTCCTTCAAGACCATCTTTCCCTGAGCATCTTTTTACCAAGAGATACTCCCACACAATTGTTCCCCTAACTGCTGTGTAGGAAGATTATTTATGGCTCAAGCTGTGCTGAGGCCCCACCTCCCACGTCTCCAGGACAGGTTTTATCATGCTGTCATTTCTGCCTTCATCTTGACAGAGCAATGCTGGTGCAGGAAGAAGCCCGCTCTCTGTACATGTGCTGCCTGGCACTGGGACAGGGTCTGAGGGGATTTCTGTAATAGCAGGTGTGCTTGGGGCATTACAGAAATTTTTTTTATAGCTCATTCTGAGGCCCAGCACGCAGCTTTTGCTACCACCTCTCTACAGCTCCGCTCTTCCAAGCCCCTGTTCCTCCTGTAAGAGGGAGCAGCACAAGACAGGGAGCTGGGACACCAACTAGGGCACTGGCAGATGGGCAGGCAGCAGCTTCACATAGACTGTAGTCTGCACTAAC